TGTTACTTCATTTACCAATGTAAGAACTTAACTATTTAAACAAACCGAAAAGAAATATGGCAATTTAATACTTGTAGTATCTCCCGTTTGTTGCCAATCCTGCACAATACACACCCTGCTCTCTGACTCGCCTCCTCTCCCCAATCCTCCAACTTGCTGCGTGCCCTACTCCCTGACTCACTCTTGATGCTGACCCTCCAACTTGCTGCCTCCCCTACTCCCTGACTCACTCTTGATGCTGACCCTCCAACTTGTTGCCTCCCCTACTCCCTGACTCACTCTTGATGCTGACCCTCCAACTTGCTGCCTCCCCTACTCCCTGACTCACTCTTGATGCTGACCCTCCAACTTGCTGCCTCACCCAATTCTTGACCCGCCCTCCCCCGCTCCTTGTTTTTGCTTACCTCCTGCTTTCTGGTACCCACTCGCTGCTTCTCTTGAGCCCTCGTTGTGACCGAGTCCTCTGGAGATGAGCAGCCAGAGGCAGGAAGAGAAGCCAATTTTTTTGAAGTGGGTTTATGGTCAGCTTCACCCCTTTTGTTTTGATCTGAGATGTGCATCACCCTCCCACTCTAGTTTAGGACCCACCGGGAGAAGCTTCTGCAACCATAACCCAAGCTTGGGAAATGACGCCATCAGCACGTAGGCTTTACTGAGGTGGAGAGGAGTCATGTCATTGCAGGGTCCACTAAGGTATTTCCACTCCTTGCAGTTTTCTGCCCACCTACTAACACCTCATCTGTTTATCCTCACTGGACCCTGCAGGTCTGACCATGGTGAGATCCCAACTTTACCTAAGTATGTGGACTAAAGAGGAGTCAGATCAGGCTCAAAATGTTAAATCGGTTGCGCTGTCCACAGATGCTGCCAGACTTGCTGGGTTTCTCCAGCACTTTTGTGTTTGTCCCAGACTTATCATCAGCTGAGTTCCTGGTTCCTCTTCCTCAGGAGTCTGGCTGAAGTCTTAGCCACTGTCCCTGGTGAAGCTGGAGCTGAAGTGATTGGAGAATCAGAGGTTCGCAGTATCATCACTGCTGCAAGGCTGAAGTTACTGTCGCACTTTATCATAATCTCTTGTTGACCCAAAGCATCCTACAGCAGTAAACTAAAGTATGGTCTGGTTCAAAATGAGGAATTGTGTTATGAGTGAAAGATACCTTGCAGTGAATAAAATGACCATGGAAACGAACGCAGAGTGGTTGAGGCTAACTAAAGGTGAAGTAGCAATCAACACTACTCTGTCAGCCTAACAGTTAGAGGCAGAGTAGGACTTAACAGCACACACAATCTATTTAGTCAACAGAGCCTGTTTAGAAAAGCATCTCTACAAACAAGAGCAAACAGAATTTTTGACTGAAACTACAGACAACCCTCCCAGTAAAAGCAGCATTATCTTACCAGCAGAATACAGTGAAGTGGAAAATAGCTATGCACTACAAATTACATAGATCAAATCTATTCCAGTGACAAAGGGAAATTGCTCACTCATCTCCATTCTGGATAAGACTTGTGGTATTGCTATGAATAATCAATTGAGGGTGTTTCAGCATGTGACTGAAGTATTAATGCCAAGAGGTTTCACTTCACACCAATTTTCCAATTACAATGTAAATGGAGCCGGAATCCAGAGGTAGGGTTTAACCTGATACCAGAATAAATCAGACTGAGGCTCTGTAAAGGTAACAGTTTCTACTTTGCTTCAAATTCAAACCCACTTTACATTCCACAAGTTTAGCATTAGTGTGAGGCCAAAACAACAAAGTTTGTTGCAGGGGTGTGTGGTAGGACCAATTTTAATAAGCATAATATTTCTGTGCATGTCTGTGTGAAAGAGATAACTTGTTTCTGCAATGTCTTTAGCAACTCCCGAACATCCTAAAACACTTTATAACCAATTAGACCAAGCAACATCAGAAGAGCAGCCTGCTGTGTTCATCCAGCTCTACACCTTGTTATCTCAGATTCTCCAGCATCTGCAGTTCCTACTATCTCTTATAACCAACTGAGTACTTTTGAAGTATTGTCGCTGTTTTAAAATTGGTAGCTAATTTCCTGACAAGTCCTGCAAACAGCAATGAAATAACTATTAACATATTCCTTGTTTTAAATAATATTGTTTAAGGGAATTATTTTAGCCAGGACCCCAAAGAGAGCGCTCCAGCTCCTCGAAATGATGCCATGGGTTATTATTCAAGTCCAGCTGAGAGGGCAGATGTGGTCTCAGTTTTACATCTCACCCAGGAGATTGGTTCACAGATTCTGGTTTGGATTCATTGTCGAATTATGCCACATTCGCTGCCTCAAATGGACCTACATGGACACTTGTGATGTCCCTGTGATTTTATTTTTTCACCAACCGTATTAGTGTACTGGATGAAATGATTTTATAGTTACGTTGGATTTAACAACATGCTTCAATATTACTGGAATTACAAAACACAGGCATGTAATCAGGAAACTTATTGTAGCCTTAGGGTAAAAGTAAGGTTTTTGTTTTGGATTCAATAATGATGCCAGGGGTTGAATCAAAATGAATGATGTATAAATGTGCCTTACCATTCCAGGATATGCTATGCTTTACTTTTAAGTTGAAAACTGATTGACATAAAAATAGTATGCTATGAAATGACCATTGTATTGTAGTATTTGCAGACATGCTTGTAATGACAAAGCTGATTTCACAACTGTAAACTCTGCTAATGTTATGATTCCCCTAGAGACAGATAACGTCTTTAAAAAAAATCGAAGTTCCAGTTGAGAGCTGAAAGGTTGACAGTATGCGAGTTCATGTTTTAAGACTTTTGCTGTAATATTCACCAAGTGCTATTTTTATGGGCGACCTATACTTTCAACAGAAGTTCCAGCTTTTACTTTTAACACAACTGAAAACCCTCTTCACAGGAACCAGTATATTTTATACTGTACCTTAAGCATTAATTCAATTCTCCCCAGAACCAGTCCAAAGTGATTCTCATCTCTTGAGATTTGACCAGTAACCTTAAACCCCAGGAGTGTGGACATTTTTTTTCCCCTTGGTGATTTTGTTTCTAGCACAAGCTAGGCAAACCATCCACCCATGTTGTAAATCCTCACAGATTTTGTCTTTTCAATCTGACCACAGCCACACTGCTGAATACTGAACAGACACTTTCAGAACCTAGCTGCTCCCTCCCTCCTGGATCAAAGGATTGCTAATCAACTCACTCTGAAGTTCATTTGAGCTGAACTCATGGACAGGTTGAACAAAGCCTCTGATCTATTGTCTTAGAGTCATACAGCATGGAAATGGATCCTTCGGTCCAACTAGGCCATGCCGACCATCTTCCCAAACTAAACTAGTCCTTGTTTGGCCCATATCCCTCCAAATCTTTCCTATTCATGAACTTACCCAAATGTCTTTTAAACGTTATAACTGTACCTGCATCCACCACTTTTTCTGGAAGTTCATTCCTCACGTGAACCACTCTCTGCATTTAAAAAAAGTTGCCCTTTACGCTCTTTTTCAATCTTTCTCCTCTCACCTTAAAAATATGCCCCCTAGTTTTGAACTCACGCACCCTAGGGAAAAGACCCTGTCATGCACCTTAGCTGTGCCCCTCATGATTTTATAAACCAATAAGGTCACCCTTCAATCTCCTACGCTCCAGTGAAAAATATCTCAGCCTTTCCAGTCTATCTTCATATCTCAAACCCCTCATTCCCAGCAGCATCTGAAACCTCCCCTGTTTAATATCCTTCCTATAACAAGGAGACCAGAACTGGACACAGTACTCCAGAAAAGGCCTCACCAACGTCCTGTATAACCTCAACATGACATCCCAACTCCTATATTCAAAGGTCTAAACAATGAAGGCAAGCATGCTAAATGCAAACTTAACCTGTCTATCTGTGACACAAATTTCAAATCTTATAGGAACTGTCATAGACGATTCTTTTATTGAAGCTCTGTAGTAAACCTGGTTCCCTTTCCCATGCTCTTGATTAACTTTGAGGACTGGCAAGTTGTTTCTTTAAACTGTATACTCCCAACATTGCAGGACTGCAAGCATCAAACAATCCTGGACCACCCTCTCAATTGGACCCACACCCAAACCATAAGAGTGTGAAATGAAAGAGTCATGATGAAATGCTTCAAACATCAGCTTGTGGTGACTGGTGTAACATAGGCTTCTCAATAAGTGTCTGTTGGAATACCTAGCTGCCTTATAGTTTCACTGCCTGGAGGAAGGAAACCAGCAAGAAAGAAATGTAATGAAGTTGGTGATAAACAATTGGCTTTTTTTAGAATTGCAAATAAAAAATGGAGTTCTTTGTTCCTAAGATTGACATAATTCATTCAGCTGCCTTGAGATTTTATTACATTAAAGGTGCTTTATAAGTTGTGGATCTTGACCTGAATCACACAATTGTCTTGTGTTACATTGTAAGTAATGTCATATGCAATTTGCTGTACAGTCCAATATCTGATGGGTTTTATCCTTTTCTCTGTGCTTTGTAGGTCGGTACAGCCAGGTATATGGCTCCCGAGGTGCTGGAGTCACGAATTAACTTGGAGGATATTGAGGCATTTAAACAAACTGATGTTTATTCAATGGCACTAGTTCTATGGGAGATTACATCACGATGTACAGCCATTGGTGGTGAGTGGCATTAAAATTATTTTATGTTTTTAAACTACTACAGGATGTCCTTTTGTTTTAACAGTAAACTTCAGATTTAGTTCGATTGATGTACAGCATCTGGAAGTTTCATTAGAAAGAAGAGAATAGATTAATAAAACAAAACATCATTGGCTTCAATTGCTAATGAGTCCGGCATGGTGGCTCAGTGGTTAGCACTGTTGCCTCACAGCGCCAGGGACCTGGGTTCAATTCCAGCCTCGGGTGACTGTCTGTGCAGGGTTTGCGCATTCTCCCCATGTCTGTGTGGGTTTGCTCCGGTTTCCTCCCACGGTCCAAAGATGTGTGGATTAGGTGGATTGGCCATGCTGAATTGCCCATAGTGTCTAGGATAGGGGGTGGGTCTGGGTGGGATGCTCTTCAAAGGGTCAGTGTGGACTCAATGGGCCAAATGGCCTGCTTCCACACTGTAGGGATTCCATGATAAAACAAGGACCAACTGCCTCCACAGCTGGTTATAGGAAGTCCCTCTGTACAGTTTAAAAGACAAAGAAAGAATTATTAGCTAATATTTATGAAACTACAGACATGGAATGATACAGTACAATATAAGGCCATTTGGTTGATTATGTGCCAACTTTTTGTGGTAATAATCCAGTTAATGTCACTGCCTGCTCTATCCCAATATCCCTACTGATTATTAATCTGACTTCCATTTGGTGAAGACTACTGAACCTATGTCAACTACCTTAATAGTTCCAAATCTTAACCATTCGTGTAAAATATTTTTTCTCATGTTGCTTCAGGTTCATTTGCCAGTCTTCTTACATTTGTGGCCTCTAGTGATTAACCATTCCGTCATTCAAAACAGATTCTCTTTATTTATTCTATCACTACAGTATCACGAAAAAGTAGGCTGAAAGTCCATTTATCTCATTGCCTATGTGGCATTTTCCTACACACCTATTGACTGCCAGATTTCTGACATTATATAAGTCATTCTATTTCAGAAATACTGCCTTGCCTCTGAAGTGCTTTGTGATACTGTGGGGTCATGAAACACTCTCCACAAATTTATTTTCATAGGATAGATCAGCTCTCGTTCACCTGGATTTGAAGGTCTTTTGATGAATTGCTTTTCTACCATTTATCCAAAATTGTGTTGCTGCTTAGAGTGATATCAAACATTCAAAGTCTATGTAGCTAATATACTGCTGCTGTTGATGTCGGGGATGAAGAACCTATGACAAGCTCTTCCTTTTAATCTTCAACTAAGTCATACTGGGCTCCACTCCTTTGTATTAAGATTCAATTGCCTTTATAATATGTAAACTCAAATATTGGCATCTTCGATGTGTTCTGACCACTTCATAATTTCTTAGACCTATTGAAATTTCCTGTACACTGTGGCTTGACTCAATAGTTTGAGAACCAACAGACAAGAGCATGTCATCTGTTAGTGTAAAAGTGCCTAAGAACTGACAATCCGATAAGAGTTAAAATTAACCCAACTTCTAGAGAGTGCAGTGTTGGGTGGTGCATTGAAAACAAATATAACAGATCTGAATCCAACCAAGAGTCAGACAGAAAAGCCTCTTCTATCTGAAAGCTGTAAGCAGTCCATGTGACATAAATTTGAGCAGATTCAAAGCAGTTGCAATTCAGCGATGGTTAAACACAACTTTTTTAACCTTTCTTAAATGTTTCTAATTTGACATTGAATTGACAGTTTCACTTGAGAAGACAACTTGGCAATGTGGGAAGTAATGCCTTTTGGACAGTATTTGGAACTGATATGTTATTTAGGAGGAGTAATAGATTTATTCCACAAAGCCCTGTACTATACTTGACCTGGGAGTCCATGATCATAGCACCATGTGTCTGAATTATAGTATGTTCCAATCTGCAGCACTAACCTCTCTAATCGTACCGTGTGTCAGATTGGCACAACGAAAGTCAATTTGTGGTCTGTCCTTACGGGTCCATGGTAACTCGTTGTGATTGGATATTTGACGCCACCTTCCTCAGTTTCTCATGAGAATAATGCAACCAAGAATTGAAGCCTTTGTCCTGCCTTTCTGTGGCAAAGAATTTGCTTTACAACAAATAGCTTTGGAAAGGAGTAGCAAGGGAATTCATTAACGTTAGAGAGAGCCAGGACAATACACCAATTATTGTGATTAAAAACTGAAAATGCTGGAATCACTTTGCTGGCCTGGCAGTGCAATTGGATGAAGAAATCGTACTAAAATCAGTTTAACACGAGAATGGCCATAACTGTTTATCCTGTTTCTAGGATACACAAGGATTCATCCAGAGATTAGTGATATTGAATACTGACATATACCAGCAGGTGCATGGTAGGGAGTGCTGGGAACTCCATGCTCCAGCTCCCAGAAGTATAACCCACTTGTTGATGCTCACTTGACTATTCGACAGAGAATAGAAACATGCTTTTCAAAAAGTAGCATGCTAAAAGTGAAACTTTGATCTCTTCTCAATCACTCCATGTTTTTGTAAGTTTGGTTTCAAGAAATAAATATTTGTAGCAAGGCCAGCATTTACTGCCCATCCCTAGTTGCCCTTGCTGGGCCTCTTAGAACCCCTCTATTCCATGTGGCTCCCACAATGTTGTTAGTTAGTTATGGATTCTGACCTAGCGGCAATATGTCATGTTGAAACATTGTGTGACTGGGACGAGAGCTTGAAGGTGATGGTGTTTCCATACGTCTGCTGTCCTTACGTTTCTAGATAATGATGGTTGCAGGTTGGGGAGATGCCATCAAAGATGTGATATAATTATCAGCTATAGATAGCAACTGGTCACCAAAGCAGATGAAAAATAACCCATGACAAATTTCTAAAAGACATCTTCATTGGCATCTTTGATATATTCTGCAGTTATGGTGCTGGAAATATTCAGTAGGTCAGGTAGCATCTGTGGGATCCTACTCCTAACCCCTTGTGCATTACTGAATCATTTCTTTTGTCATTTACTCGTGCTTACTTTCCACCTTATCACAGACCTTCTCTTTAAGTCTTTCTTGTAATTCTTTCCTCCAATTGCCCAAATCACTTTTCCTGTCTGTCATACCTTCAAGTTATGTCTGGTGCTAATGAAAGATCATCAGCCTGCAATAAGTGTCTCTGTCTATGCACCCTGCCTGACATTATCGCCACCATTTTCCGTCTATATTTAAGTTTTGCAGCATCTACCTATTTTTCTCTTGTACAACTGTATTCTGTAGTTGTCCAGCCTGTTTACATGTATCATCCTGTATATATTAAAACTGTTCAGTATTATAGGCTCAGTAATTTTATTCACCTAAATTTCAAATTTTGCCATTGTCACATTTTTGTGAAGATTGGAGTTCTAATGCAACCATCAGGAAATATGGTTCTATAAGCTTTCACTAAATGAAGCCTTACATGTGATACAGCAAAACAGAAAGATTGGAACTGAACAGGCAGCTTAGTTGTGACCAGAAAAGAGAGAAACTTCAGTTAGAATCAGTTAGATTCACCAAACCCTTAACTTATCTTTGTTTCCTAGACTGTAAATATTATCTGCATCCAGATAATACTTTCTGTTTTCATTGAGTCCTGTCTGTTGTAGAATGTGTTGCAATATTGAACAGAAACAAAATTGTTTTTAAGTTTCTAATTGCCCTACATTATAAAGAGAAACTTTGTTATGCAAGAGCTGTTTGAATGTGGATCTTATACCACAAGGACTGCTTTTATTTGTTCACGGGATGAGGGCGTCAGTGGTCAGGCAGCATTTATTACCCATCCCTAATTACCCAGAGGGCAGTTCAGAGTCAACCACATTGCTGTGGGCCTGGAGTTACATGTAGGCCAGACCAGGTGAGGATGGCAGTTTCCTTCCCAAAGAACATTAGAGAACCAGATGGGTATTTCCTGACAATCGACAATGGATTCATGGTCATCATTAGATTGTTAATTCCAGATATTTATTGAATTCAAATTCCACCATCTGCCATGGTGGGATTCGAACCCGGGTCCCCAGAATGTTATCTAGGTCTCTGGATTAACAGTCCAGCTATAATACCTCTAGGCCATCACCACTTGAGGCCAAAAAAAAACAACACATTTAAGAGAAAGCTACATAATTTTACAGAGGTGGGAATAGAAGGATATGTTAATAGAATTATATGACACAGCATGAGAGGAGACATTATGGAACACGAATACTGTCAGAGACCAAAGGCTGATTTTCTGTAGTGCAAATTCAATGTAATTCTATGTGCTGTACTGGTGACAAACTTTACCTAATTTTTCAAAAACGGCACATTGAAAATGAAAGAAACCTGCTTCAGAGTGATGAAATTCAGAAATAAAGCTTCTAGCTCATGAAGACAACCTGAAAACCAATTGTCACGCTGCACAGCTTGCCTTAAATTGGCACCGTCCTGTAAATTGACCTAGTGACATTTCAGAGATCGAGGGCTAAAGTCATTGTTCTGCAAAGCCCTTCAGTGAAAATCTATCATGGGACAGAGGGTGCTCTGCCTCGTACCCAGTTGTGTTGTTCTTTATTCCAACACAGAATGTTAGAAACCTCTAAATAATGACTACCCACCTCGCAAGAGTTAAAATCTCCTCTTAATCCATTTGTTCCTGTTATGCAGTCTTTATTGACTTAATCTGCCTGAGGACGTTTTTCCTTTTAAAAACAAATATTTCCATTATAGTCACATTGCTGAGTGGTTATCAGCTAACAAAACATATGCTGGGCTCACGTTCCAACATTTCCAATTGGATTACACTATAGTTTAGATGAAGCCTGCGTAGGACCTCGAGGGGAGGTGGAACATTCCAGTCTGTTCCGAATATAAAGCTGGGTTAAATGCTATTAAAACTGAATCTAAGTTGATGCACCTCGAGGGGTTAGCTCCCATCAGCAATGGAAAAATAGCACAAAATGGTTGTTTCCTGTAATTCTGGCTCTAAGACAAATAAACTTCCTTTCCTGCTGTGGGTTTTTTCCCTGATCCAGC